TGAAAGGGTTGTCAGGCTCTGGAATGGGCTGCCCAGGGAGGTGGTCAAGTCCTCATCCGTGGAGGTATTTAAAAGAAGGATAGATGAGGTGCTTAGGGACATGGTTTAGTGGTGGGATGGCAGAGTTAGGTTAACGGTTGGACTCGATGATCTCAGAGGTCTTTTCCAACCAAAGTGATTCTATGATTCTATGATTTTCTGCTCACAGGAGAGAGCAGAAAGCATTTTAGCTGAACAAGAAGATGTCTTTTTTAAAGAGTAGGTTGCCATTAGGTGTGTCAGAACATAGTTGTCTGTCAGAATTCATGTCTGCACAGAATGCAATCAGTCTTCCTCACCTGGGCTGGTTGCATGGTCTGCCTTCTTTCGGTAGCTTAGCTGTCATCTTGAAAGCCTTAATCCTCCAGTTCTCACTGTGTTGAGGAAGCTAGGAGGAGAACTGCTTGGTGCCATGATTTCAGTGAGCAGGAATTGGCTCTTTCTACAGTGTCTTTTTTTTTTTTCCCCAGAGACCACTTGGATGTTGAGAGTGACCACACTGTTCCACACCACCCCTTCTGCTTTTGAACTGCCTTCTGCAGCTCAAGTCTAGTCATAAAAACAAATAGCCTTAGTTGCAAAGCATAAGCACACACTTCTCCACCTCAGTCTGGTGAGAGATTGCAGCCTGTTCTATCAAATGGCTTCCATGTTGATCTCCACCTAGGACTGATCATGGCCCTACGGAAGCTACGTAGAGTTCAGAAGGCAGATGGACACTCTTCATGCTCTGCTGATGACTGCTTTTTACCTACAGAACAACAGGTCATCAACAAAGTTTGCATCTATGTAAGGAAGATGCAGTAGTGAAAAGGCTTTAAGTATTGCATCGATTTAGCTTGATGATGGTTTCCCTGGGCAACCACAGATTTTAGGAACTATGATCCTGTTTAGTTCAGGGTTGATGATCCTAAGAGTGAAACACAGGTTGCTGAGCCAACATGCCTTCAGAGCAAAATGTGAAAGCCTGCTTCCCTGTCAATGAGTTTCCATCAGCTAAACCAGGAAAAAAAGAGTAAGAGAAGGGGATTTGAGAGCAGCAAATGTAAAGAAACAAAAATAAAAACAAGTGTGAAAAAAGTACGGTCTCACTCCCTCAGAAAGGAGGGGTGAAAAAGCACAGAACACGTCTCACATGCTTTAAATTTTACTCTTTAGAGCAAATTTAAACATGCAGATGACAGAGGCCAATGAATCCTTAGCTAGCTACATGAAATGCAACAAGCTGCTGCATTTTATTATGTTGACTTTCAGAACTGAAAGTATGCTGTTTATATTGGGACTCATCTGAGTAGGTCTCCATTAATTGTTTCATTTTCAGGAGACAAAAATTCAGGAAGAAATTGCCTTTTGGCTGTAATCTTGTTCTTTCTGATGTTAGTGGCAACCTTACTGTAGACTTGCATGGGAAGATGGATGAGGTCTGTAGTGCTGACTCTCTCTGTATGGCCCAGTCACCCCAAATATGAAGAGGATTGTATTCTACAGCATTGTTGGACAACATCCATCTTTGCTCTTGAAAGAAAATCCATGCTAGACAGTGGTATTGTTCTCTCTGAGATAAAGATTGAGGGATTTTTTACATGCTGTGGAGTCTGTTGGCTAGAACCATTCAACTCTCTTTGTTACTGTTGTATTTTTACTGCAGCACTAGGAAAGCTGGAGCTCATCCTCAAGTTTTCTCTTTCGTGCTCCACTGCTGAAGAAGTAATCCATGTTTACCAGAGCCCTGCCAAGTTCAGTATTGATTCGACTGCCAATAGTCTGGTTGGTCGAGTTGGGAACTTCGCTTGAGAACACAGACATATAGTTTGGCAGTGGCTTCTGCTCCTTTTTCTTACCCTGGATAAAACAAAGTAAGTTTTCAGAATTACATCCGTTGCTTGTCACAAAAATACAGGTTACTGAGATTATTTATAATATCAGCACTTTTGCTTTTGAAATTGGAATTTGAATGTACTTAAAAATGTCCTACTGAATGTACATGGAAGTGTTGAAGAAATAAAGTAAAACTTCTTTTTTTTTCCTGTTGTCTTGCATGGGAATGGGATAACATAGGGGAATTAATAATTTTCAGATGTGTTGCATAAATTGTCAGCTGGGACAGAAGTCAGCCTGCTCTAGAATCATCATGCTGTGGGAGGTTTTCTGTTTCATTTTTAGCAAGCAGCTTGGATTTCAGCATGATGAGATTGTCTTACAGATTTTCTCCTAAGAAGTTGGTTCCTCCAGCACTTCTCTTTATGTGGAGTTGTTAATACTGAAACAGATTGAACACACACATGTACTGCATTTCTTTGTGGCGTAGGTAGCAGATGAAAGGCACTTTGGTTTACTTTTATTATTCCTAAAGATTTTAGTCTTGAAGCGTTTGCTGATTATGCCTAAGTATGCTTCAATTTGAAAGCCTAGCTCGAATTGATAAAATAAGAAGAGCCTGGATTACAGTTGAATGTTTGTTCAAAACTTACCAATTGGTCATAGTCCTTTAGGAAACTCCAGTTCTGGTACCTTGGAACAGAAGTAAAAAATGGAATGTAAAATTTTCTGTCTTTAAATAAAATAGTCAATGTTGGTCGTATTTGCATGCCTACTTAACTGCTCAGTTTGATACATACAGCCCAGCTCTTATACCTGCAAACTCTGTTCTGAAATCTGCCTTTTCTGTGGTGAAGCCTGGGCCCTCCTTGATTCCCATATAGAGCCCATACTACATGGGGAGTGGATATTTTTTGCTAAAGGAAGGATATAGCATGTCCCCAATGTATTCCTTGTGCAAATGCAGATAAAGTCCTGAGTCACGATAGCAAACTTTCATCCCATGTCTTGAGCAGACACAGCTTCTTATTTTTCAGATGACCAATGCTCTGCTGGCAGAAGTCCTTAGTAGGAATTCCCAGAGCTGTATTTGCTGCAGGCAAACACCCACGGGAGTATTTGGTGCAGACAAATAGCTGTGCTAGGGGCAAAGTGACTCAGAGGACGTGAGTTTTGCTCTTCAGCTCTGTTCTATACCTGATGTGGGACTACAGGACAAGTCCTTTGATTCTCTGTCCTTTGCTTCCCCTGACCTGAAATGGAGAAGACAAAAGTTCACCTGCTATTGTAAAAATACTGTGAGGTCCACAGTTATCTATGGCTGTACTTGCAGCAGGGCTCAGGGGACGCCTGGCTCGGCTCTCTGAGCTGGTTGCCCATGTCTGCACAGCGCTGCATCTAAGCTCACCGACCCAGTGCTGAAGCTGTATATTTTTCCAAGTTGGGCTTGTCCGTGCAGCACAACCATGTACCGCAGAGAGCTAGGAGATGTGGATTTCTGTGCTGCCCTCCCCTGTCCAGTGCAGATATGCCCTAGGTGCAAATAAAAGCTCATCTATGCTTCTTGTGTTTCTCACTATATGTCTTGGTATACCAGCACAGCACAGAGGTCCTGAATTTTTTTATCTTGCTATGCCAGCCACAGAGCAGGACATGCATCAGCTGCATGATGTGCTATCTTCCTTACCCATGGAAGTGAGTTTGCACCAATATCCATGACACTGAATCCCAGGGGGCAGGCACAGACAGAGGGTCCCTCCTGCTGCCTCAGATGGGCCCTTTTGGGAAGAGTGAGTGCACAACTGGGAGATGGTAACATTGCCACCACGGCCTTGGCTTTGCACGAGTCAGAGTCCTGCGCCAGCCTTTCCCTCAGGTAAAAGGAGCCAGACAGGAGTGCAAATGTGCCTCTGGGGAAATGAAGCTGTGATTTGTATCTCCTCCAGAAGGCTGAGGAGGACAGGGGTTTTCAGACATTTTTTTTCCCCATTCTAAAATATCCTGAGAATTATGTTCTTTTTCTCCCCTTTCCTTTAGCTTGGCTAGTGTGCAGTCGGAACTGGATCTGGTTTTACTTTTACCAAGGATATTTTAATAGGACATGCTGTGTATGAAGTAGGGACATAAGCACTCAAGGTATGCGGCAGAGACAGAGGATCTTAACTTCGGGTTCCTTCAGGTCGCTGGTGTATGCAGGGTCAGAGCTTAGGTTGTATGGGTCCTGAAACACTGTAACAAAGGGGCATGCTCAGCAGATTTACGGATTGGGAATACAAAATCATATTTTGGCAGAACACTCTGTTCAGCTTCCATTTCAGCCATTTCCAAGAATATGAGAAGAGGTGATAATATCAGCATGTCTGCAATAAATTATAAAGATTGGCACATTTATATCTTCATTGTGGAAATCTCTGTAAAGCCAAAAGATACTTAGCATGCAATACTTTGCCTCTCTTTTCTTAAAGCCCAGCATGCCAGGAGATACCAGCATAGATTTTGTCTGGTGAAGGAAAACAGATAATACAGTCTTAGAAAGAAAGGTGTTAGGGTCTGAGCCAAAGTCCCTGCAAAAGAAAGTTTGCGTTGATAGTGTAGGCTTTGGACCAAGCCCTAAGACTGTCAGGGAGCATTGGTACCACTGTCAGGATGAGTAGAAGAGGCATGGACTGGAACCAGTGACTTACCAGATTTTTCTTCCTCTCTGTTCAGCCTCCACAGACTCTCTCCAGATCTTATCCTGTTGAACCTGGTCCTGCTGCAGCGCTGCCTGCTCATCTGCCTGGGCCTGAGCAGCCGGTTGTGCCACGACAGGTCTTCGGGGTTGGGTGCTGCCGAGAGACACAGCCGGAGCTGAGGCTGGTTGCCCCAGAGGTGTGGTTCCTGGTTGCCAAGACCTCACCAAGGTATTTCTCCTGAATCCAGAACCCTTTCCCAACTTGTCCATTTTGAGACTCACAATGTCCCCAGTATTTGGGACTGTTAGGAAAATTAAATCTCCTATTGTTTGCACTTTGAAAGCTCCTTCTCTCCTAACGTTTTCTTTTAGCTGCTGATTTGGAGTGCTTTCAGAAAATGAACAGGCACAGCAGCACTGACAGGCAGTGCTCGGCACCGTTTCACTTCCCTCTTATTTACTGCTCATTTCCTACTGCTTTATGCTGCTTCATTGCTTGAATGCTGAAGGAGTTTTCATGGTAACAGCAATTTTGTAAGAAATGACTGTTACTGAAAGCCATCGGATCTCCAGCCGTAACCAGCAAACTCTCAGTTTACGAGGCGATTACTGCTGCTTGCAGCTGAGACCACCCTCTAGTCACAATCCTCCCAACAATAAAGTCTGCTTTAGTACTAAAGGGTGCTGCGGAGATTGCTGCTGAGTATGTCAGGAGGACTTGGTTGTGATTATGTAGCAGAAGCAAAATCTCCTGAAAGCTGCTAGTTTCCCTGGTGTGTTTACTGTCTCCATTGGAAACGAGTCTGACTTGTGAATATTCACCAGAAGCAGAGACCCAGTGGGACAGCTGCTAGGGCCTTGAACTCTATTTGGGGTAGAGCTTGTATGTTTAAAATAAGGTATTTAGACGAATCTGTGCTTTGAAACAACCTTATTTTCTAATTTTAAAAAGAGAGCAGCCAGAGATCATCAGAAGTCCTTTTTAAGTGCTTAGAAATTTCTGCAGAAGGTATTAAGAAACTATGAGAAGTAGTTTTTAAGTATCTTCAAGGGAATATTAGTATACAAAGTGAGAATTTTCAAAACAGTGTCCAAAATGTCAGTGTTTGTCTTTACAGTCAGCCTGCTAGGCTTTTGTGGTATGAAGTCACTTTCTCAGGTATTTGTGACCTTGCAGGTTCTTGTGTTAATTCCAATCCTTCCTTCAAGTCAATTTCTTCAAATTAAACATAATAATAAACTAAAAATGGTTATTGAGCTGAGTACATAGCTTCCAAATGACTACTTGTAGCCACTGAATAAAGTGGACGGACAGTTTACCAGCACGTGTTTAAAGTCTAAGCCATTGAGTGGTGTCTGCAAAGATGCAGGAGTTGTAACTGCCCTGGTTTTGATGCAGGGCTACAAAGTGAACTGAAGGTGAACTCACAGGTTAAAGCCAGATCGGTTGGTCTGAGACTCCACAAGCTCAGCAAAGAAGGAAGTCTTAACTGTTCAGGACTCTGAAGCCTAAAGCTTTAAACAAAAATAAGCTATGAGTCTACAGGCAGGTATTGAACACTTGATAGTGTTCCAGCCGTTTCTCTGGAAATACCAGATGGGAATGGGATCAAGGCTGTTAAATAAGTTGGGTTTTTAAAAATATTACAATAATATGACTTTAAAATGTAGCTGCTGTTCCAAAACCAGATCACTAAGAGCTGATATTTTGAAAATTATCCCATTTTCTGTTGGGACCAGAAGTCATTAAGGGAGTAGTTATGCACCATTAAAGCACATCAAGGTGAGTGCAAGGATGACATTTCTGGGCGTTACTCTGGATTCTTTACTGGTTATACTAGTATCCCATTAAGGCCTTTTACTAGATTAACAGCTCAGCAGAAGTGCTGCAGATACTGAAGGTTCCCCTCATATTACCATCTGCCAGTTTAGCATTTTATTTGTTCATTACAATAACTCGGGGCATTTAAGCAGGGAGCTCATTTGAATTGGTACGGCTGATTTACTGCGTACTTCTTTTCATCCGATAGTAGACTAGGTTGATGGTTATTGTGGCTTCCTACCATATGTATCTATGCGAATTGATTAGAGCATCTTTTTTTTTCTGGTTGGGGATGTGAAACTTGAAAAAAGTTCTAAGTGTCGCTGTAGGAGATGGCTTTGCTTGCGAGTTTGTTTTGAGATTAGTTTATCTGACAAGCGGTGTTGGTGCCCACCACTCTGAGGAAGAACTTGACCGAGGTTAGTCTCTTGTTGTTGCCAGACAAGTGGTGATACACACTACAAATTCACCTGCTAAAAATACATGAGTTATTTCCCCCTGTCAAAGGAAGAAACGTCTAGAGAGGCTTTTTATGGAGGAAAAAGTTCAGGTGTTTAGATAAACCATTTTTATTTGACCACAAGAGGGTATTGCAGTATCAGTTATGCAAGACTTGAGCTCATGTTTGACTGTATATGCACTGACTTATTTTCAAAACACACATTTCTGGAAAATGATTATTTAAATTAAGCAGTAGTTAAGAAAATCAGGTTTTCTATGCCAGTATTTGATGTCCTGGTACAGAGGCAATTTCTGAGCCGTCTTTTCTAAAAATGGTTTTGTTTTTTATAGTAACAATCTTCTTGGAGCTTGAGAAGTTCTCATTGATTTCACTGGAAGACAGGAACTTCAGAGGCTTATTCCAAAACACTGCAAAACTTCATGGAGATCGCTTGGTTAAATGCAAGAATACATCAGTTACAGAAGTGAAATAGTAACAGGAGTGAATGTGTTGCTGCTTTGGTTGGAAGTGCGTGTTGGTCCAGAATGGGCGCTGTCAAAGCCAGTGAGACTCTGGTCTGATTTTCCCATGTGGTCCTACTTGCAAGAATGAGGTCTGAAATCTTTTTTAGCTCATTTGTGTTTCACAGATTTCTCCTTTACATCCAAGTCTTCTACCGTATACATCCGATGTTGGTGTGCACTTTTCTCCTAAGTCAGTACTGTGTTGGGATGCTTTCCTACAAAAGTTGTGTCTTCTAAACTTTGAGGACAGTGTTGCCCAATGTTCATGCCATGTTCTGTGCAGTTCAGACCATGGAAGAGGGAGCTAGAAGGATTTCTGGGTTCTCCCACTCCTAGGTCTGCTGCTGAATTAGGGAGAAGATACATGGTATGCCTGCCTGTCTCTCAGCAAGCCCACCTGTAAAAGAGGAAAGATCACAGCTGTATCACATTACCTGTGAAGAACAAATTTCCAAGGGGTGTGATAGTGATTTGATGGACAGCAAAGTGATTTTCATATAAGAAAGTCTGTGTTTGTGCAATGTTGCAGAGATTTAAGAAACATACCCATTTAAAAGCACAAGTGCAGTGTATATGTCACGTGTGAGTAAGAGGCAGGAGCAAGACCATCGCCTGGAGGAGAGGGCAGCTCTCCGGAGACCAGCTTTTCAGGGCAGATCACCATCTGGAAGATCTCTGCCATTTCACAAATGAGACAGAGACCCCCATGCAAACCTTTTGGCATGAGCAGTGTCACCTGCCTCGGGTAGTGCCATTTGCGTTGTCATCTTCATCTTCCTCAAATGAGTAAAGATCAGTCAAGTCAGTCAAGATTGCCGGCTGGAAGATGGGTCATGGTGATGGTTAGCAGAGTGGGGTGTTAGGTGATCGGTCAGAGGACACTGAGCAGCCAGCAGAGAAGTGACAGGGGGCAGAGCATTCATGCGGGCGTTTTTTTTTCTCACCCGCCCTGGGCATTAACCAGCAAGGGCCTGGAGGTTTGGAGGTCTTGGTCTGGCAGGAGCAGAGTGCCTTGGGTTGCTGTATGCAGCCAAAATGAAAATAAATCCTGCAAACTGCCAGTTTGGAGTAAAACTCCTTTTAAACGATTGCATAGCTGCTTGATTAAAGGCTTCATGCGTTGAGTTTTGCTGTAGCTGTCATAAAAAAATAAAAAACTTCTTGCTTGTCTTAATGGAGTTCTGCTGAGAGAGCCTGGCAAGTAGAGTGTCTGTTGCGTCGGCAGCGTACGAATACCACCAAGGGAATGTCTGCTTCCAGTGACACAGAGTCTGACACTTCAAAATAAAATCAAAGCTGTAATGCAGACTGTAAGAAATCTGTTGTGAATTTTTTTGTCCCCTTCTTCTAATATAAAATCTAGTGTTACAAAATAATGTTAGCTGCTGATATGCAGTTTGCTTTATTTGAAACAAAAATTATCTACTTGAAAAAATACTATTTACTTGAAAAAAAAATTAAACAGCAGATATTCCATAGAATATGAAGGCCTTTTACATTAGAGTCTTCTGCTTAAACCTGATGCCTGAGCAAAGTGCTGGGATTTCAGGGAGAGAGTGTTGCAGGGCTGGTGTGTGTGTGGATGTGTCTGTTTTGAGGAGAAAGAACTATAAATATAGGAAGCATTCCTCACTGGCCAAGGAATGTTTTCAGTTGGCATTTTACATTCGAGGCTAGATCCTGTCAAGAAGTACAGTAGCGCATGGACAACCAAAGTTGTCTTCGTTAGTCTAGAGCTGGTCAAGTCACATCCTCACCACAGCTGGGAGCTCCGGTAATCGCCTAGCGGAGCTCGGCTTCGTTCTGTTCATCCTTCATGAACAGGTCTAAGAGAATTTCAGCATACGAAGGATTAAGTACTTCTGCAAAAGCTGTGCTTCATACTGCTTAAGTACCTAAGGCAGCGGTTTGACCTCTGGGGCCTGGCGTGGCCCTGCTTTGCCGTGCAGCTGCGGCACGCATCTGTTAGCACTGTCAGCTTATGGGCCCGGCGATAGCAGCTGAGGAGAAGCTGCTTCACAAATACCACAGAGATCCTGTTTTCCCTCTCTACTACCCGGGGCACTGTGGTTCTTGTAGAAGTGTTTTATCCAGTGAAATTCAATATTCCAGGTGTGTATCACTATATATTTCAAAGCTCAAGATGTTGTTCAGTTATTGTTTGGATTATTCTCTGTTTCTTAGCTATCTCCTCCAGCAGCTAAGAGCCTATTTGTTGATCTGCACTTCAATACGCTAAATGTTTCGCTTACCATCTGCTCACCATATTCAGAAAGGATTTAACTTCCTGGTTTGATGTGAGATACCAAAAATTCTCTGCTGCAAGTTAGGCAAAGTTTTCGAATTGGGGTACCTAAAATTTGTTTTAAATTGTGTCTGTGGCTATTAAAAGGAAGGGACCTGTTTTTTCAAATGTTTTTGACCTTTGAAAGTTCTGTTGGCTGAGAATTGAGCTACTTCCTTTTAGGTTTTTTCAAATATGAGTGTCAGAGTCTAAAATTGGGAAGCCTTGTCTGAACATGTCAATCACAAGCTTTATCTGTTTTTCAGCAAAGCTTTTAGTATCTTCATTGCAGCTTTCTATTAGTGTAGGTTTCCGTCTTAAATATAGAAGCTAGTGTTAAATCACACTTCAGGCTGATGTTTGGCCAGCTCTGACTGTTGGGAATCAGAGGGAAGTTCTTCCTAAAGACAGGATGTGCCAATAACTGGATGTAGGGGGTTTTGTATACGGCTTTTTCTGTGATATGCTAAAATCTGGTGGCAGGTTTCCTGAGATCATAGGAGAATTCAGGTCTGAAGGATCCTCAGAAGTTCTGTAGTCCAGCCTGCCCCTCAGAGCAGGGTCAGCGATGAGATCCGATCAGCTGCTCAGGGCTTTCTGCTGTTGGTCTTGATAGCCTCGAAGGATGGAGACTGCATCATCTTTTTGGGTAATGCATTCCACAGCTTGGCTGCCCTCATGATGAAGAATGAGAAGTCTCATGAGAAGGCTTTTCTCCCAGATAACGGGCAATAGGATAAGAGGAAATGGTCTGAAGTTGCACCAGGGGAGGTTTACGTTGGACATGAGGAAAAATTTCTTCACCAAAAGGGTTGTCAAGCACTGGAACTGGCTGCCCAGGAAAATGGTGGAGTCCCCACCCCTGGAGGTATTTAAAAGACGGGTAGACATGGTGCTTAGGGACATGGTTTAGTGGTGGGATGGCAGTGTTAGGTTAACAGTTGGACTTGATGATCTTAAAGGTCTTTTCCAACCTAAATGATTCTATGATTCTGTAAGAAGTTTTGCCTTATATACAGTCAGAACCTCTCTTGTTTCAACTCGTGCCCATTTTATTTTGTCCTCCCACCGGGCACCGCTGTAAGCAGCCTGGCTGTGTCTCCAGTAACCTCCTTGCAGGTAGAATCATAGAATCATAGAATCATAGAATGTTTAGGGTTGGAAGGGACCACTAGTGGTCATCTAGTCCAACCCCCCTGCAGTGAGCAGGGACACTGCTAACTAGATCAGGTTGCTCAGAGCCCCATCCAACCTGGCCTTGAATGTT